ATCCCTACTAAAATCCCAGCTGGTTTTTGTTTTGTTTTGTTGGCTTATTTGTTTAAGAAATTGACAAACTGATCCTCAAATTCATATGGAAAATCATGAATCCAGGATAGCCAAACTATCTTGAAAAAAAATGGAGGATTCACATTTTTTTTAAGATTATTTATTTATTTATTTGTCAGAGAGACAGAACATAAGCAGGGGGAGAGGCAGGCAGAGGGAGAAGCAGGCTCCCCGTCGAGCAAGGAGCCCGATGTGGGACTCAATCCCAGGACCCTGGGATCATGACCTGAGCCGAAGGCAGCTGCTTAACCAACTGAGCCACCCAGGCGTCCAGATTCACATTTTTTTTAAAAAAAATTTTAGAACATACTGTATAGCTACAGTAATCAAGACAGTGTCGTACTGACAGGGTAGTAATGAATAAAATTGAGTCTGGAAATAAAACCATACATTAATCATTACTTCATTTTTGGCAAGAGTGCCAGAACAATTCAAGGGAGAAAAGTCTTTTCAATGAATTGTGCTGGGACGCCTGTATGTCCACATGCAAAAGAATGAAGCTGAACTCTTAATTCACACTATACACATAAAGTAACTCATATTAGACCATAACCTCAAATTATAGAGATAAAACTCTATAATTCTTAGCAGAAAATAGAAGAATAAATTTTCACGACTTTGGACTAGGATCATTAGATGTTAAATGGCACATCAAAAGTACCATTGGAGGATGTGATAAATAAGATGTGACGTCCAATTGAGCAGTGAGCTGGACCCAGGCACTTAGAGGCTCCTCACCCTCTCCCCTGTCCTTGGATCATGGGTTCCATTTGCTTTCCTGCTCCCAAATGCTGCTTGCTCCAAGGACATAACCTTGAGAGAGTGACCTGGTGTTGAAAACACCTATATGGTATATGTGACTGAGCCCAGTTAGGGCCTCTTTATTAACTTTAAGATATAGTGGGCAGGCGCAGTGATCCATTCATCTTGCTACAGCCCAAGACAAGCCTCATATGTAAGTTCCTTTGCTTCATTAAACCCGCCACCTACCAACCTGGGGTGGCCTGCCTCTGTCTTTCGTTTCTCTCTGCACTCTTCTCATGGGGGCCAGTTTTAGATTACATTTGAGAAGTTCCCAGGAGGGTTACAAACCAATAAGTACATGATTAAAAAAATAGGTAAATCAGACTTAATCCAAGTGAAATCTTTTGTGTGTCACAGAACCATCAGGATTGTGAAAAAGAAGCCCATAGAATGGGAGAGAATATTTGCAAATCATAGATCTTACATTGGACTTGTATCTAGAATGTATGAAGCACTCTTAAAATGCAACAATAGGGGCATCTGGGTGGCACAGTCGGTTAAGCATCTGCCTTCGGCTTAGGTCATGATCCCAGGGTCCTCGGATGGCTCCCTGCTCAGTGAGGAGTCTGCTTGTCCCTCTCTCTCTCTGCCTTGCTCGTGCGCTCTCTCCCTCTCTCTGTCTCAGTCTCTGAAATAAATAAATAAATAAATAAACAAAATCTTTAAAAGACCCCCACAACAATAAAAAGACACCCCAATTTTGAAAAGGATAAAGGACTTGATTAGAGATGTTTCAAAAACACGTAAGTGGCCAAGAAATACATTTAAAAAAAGACAACTGTAGTCATTAATGCAAATCAAAACCACATGAGCTACATCTTACCTACAGAGGATGGCTAAAGTTTAAAAAAAGACAGATAACAACAAGTGTTAGCAAGGCTTTGGAGAAAACGGAACTCTCCTGCATTGCTAGCAGGAAGGTAAAATGGAATAGCTCTTTGGAAAACAGTTTAGTGTTTCCTCAAAATGTTAAACATAAAGATACCACATGACCTGGCAATTTCCACTGTAAATATTTACACAAGAGAATTAAAAACATATGTTCACATAAAAACTTGTAATGAATCTCCATGGCAACATTATTCATAATAGTCAAAGAGTAGAAATAACCAAATGTCTATCAACTGGAGAATGGATAAGCAAACTGATAAATTCACCCAGTGGAATATTATTCAGCCATAATAATGAAGTAATGATACCTTCAGTAACATGGATGTCCCCTGTAAATATCATGCTCAGTTTAAAAGCCAGACACATAAAAACTACATATTGTATGATTTCATGTCTATCCAGGATAGACAAATCCCATAGAGAAGGAAAGAAGGTTAGTGTTTGCCACGGTTTGAGGGTAGGGGGAAGTAGACAGGGGATTTTGCTTGGGGTGACTAAAATGTCCAAAAAATTATATAGCAGTGTTATAAAACTCTATACTAAAAAAGTACAGAATTGTACAATTTAGAAGGATGGATTTTATGGTATGTGAATTATATCTCAAGGAAGCAATTTTTTTAAAAAAGTCAATCTTCAAAAGGACGTTATGCCCAGTTATGATGATTTCTGATTTGTGTGCATTGGGTATTGGGTACCTTGGTTTTGCTCTCCCATCTGGCCCCCCCAGCACCACCCCCACCCCGTTTCTATCGCTTTGTGCTCTGGGATGCTGAATTTTGTGGACACATTAACTGACTTCTTGCCCTTTGGCTTTCTGTTGAGTGAATCAGTGGAGACTCTTGACAGGGGATGGCAGAAAAGGAAGAGTAAGGTCAAGGAGTTATCCTAGTTCACCCTGCTGGGCCTCAAGATTACTCAGTCTTTCCACCAAAGGCCACAGCCTGCCAGAGGCTCTCTTTCTAGACCCATTTTCTGGGTTCCTGGTAACTGTTTGCTCCCATTACCTTCAGGTTTTTCCGTGGTATGGGTGGTAAAATTTCCTCAGGCTGCTTGCTCTGGAATACTGAATCTACCTAGGTGATGCCCCTACCCCTGCCCATGCATTTTAAACAGCACTTTTATTAAAAGACACCCTTTCACCTCTCACCTACCAATCCCTTGTTGATGTACTGTGTTTGGTTTAACTTGTTTTCATTTTATTATGTGCTTTAATTTCAGTCTCTTTGCTTTTTCATTTTCTTCTGTTTTAGTAGAGGATTTATTTCAGCTTTGTTTTCAGCAGGGACTTTCAAGGTAAACATTCTATTTTTAGCTCCATTTGAGATAAGCTTAATGCCTTAACAGCATATTTTGTACTATATTAAACTATCAATTGTAGAACAAAATCATTTTTGATCATTCTTTCTTCAAGGTAATGACTTGGCCCTTTACTAACCTCTCTCCCTTTCTCTGTTTTAGTTCATTTACTTTGAGTTTGTGAAGTCTTTCTTCATTTTAAAAACATTTCATTTGTCCATTTATTTTATACTGGGTTTCACGGTCATTTATTATTGTTTCTTTAAACTCTTTGTTGCACCTCATAATGATGTAATAGCAACAATTGAATGTCAAGAGGGGCTAGGTCATTCACATCAGGGGTCAAAGGGAAGGAAGGCATGCTTAATTTACCTTGGTTAAAATAATTTTTGATTGTCTTAATAAGTATAGTAAATCAAGAAAGAGGAAATAAACTGACACCACTAGATAGCTGGGCCTTTCAGAGATTTCTGAGATGGGCAGATCTGGTAGACAGTCAGGTGAAGCCTAGCAATCCAAATAGAAACTTCAGTTACTGTGTCATATTATATTTCCAAGAGCAAAGGTCCATTTTTTCCTATACTGCAATGCAGCCACTTGGCTATTGTATATTTTATAATTTACTTCTTAAACTTCGTTCCACGAGCACCGTTGACTGAAGTCAGTTCAGCCCTCCGCCACCATCACAAACACAGCATCAAACTGGGAACAAGGACAGGATTCAGCCAAAGCCTGGTATCTCTGAAGCATAAATACCTACAAGCTTGAAGGCCAACATTTTTCTCCACAGCAACGTTTTCACGAAGTTACCTTTTTAGCCTAAAAATTTAAATGATGACTTCTTTTCTGTTCCTGCTTTGGTTTATTTTTGCCGTTCAGGATATTTCTTGAGACATTCATTTTGAATTGCTGTTCACATTTTGTATGATTATTTATTTTCTGAGCAATCGTCTTATCTTTCCAAATTCATTTAAGCTTTTTGAGACCACAGACCTTTTCATTTATATTTTATATACATCACACACCTAACAGCTCAATGCTGGAGACACAGAGATGTTCAATAAATATTTCTTAATTTGATTTATTAGAGCTCTTATTAGTTCTGTCTGCTTAGTCTGGTAGTGCATTCCCTTCTGTTTGGTATAAAGCAGACTGCACTTGATATACTTTGAAATGCAGTCCAGAATTAATAACCTCTGAGAAACCTGATATGCTTTTAAACTTCCCAGATCCCTTGTTAGAAAACTCAAGAGACTCTAAGCATCGACTTTTCATAATCTGTTACCTCATTTGGTGTACGTTCATATCTACAGCAACATCATGAGGTGAACAAGGGCTCCACAAATCTTTGGATTTGTTTAAAATTGGCATTTAATATGTATATTTTTTCTTTTTAAAAGCATTTGGGGAGAGTTCAGCTGCCAGGTCCCTAGAGCAAAATGGTTTTCTTGACACTGCTTCTGTGTTGTCTCAAGGCCATATATCTGGCCCTGTAACTTGAACACAGGAAAAGGAGGGGGAGGGAGAGAGACCTTCTGTTCATTCCCTGTGGCAATCCATTGGGATTCTAAATACTTGAATATTTTCAATTCATTAGGAGGCTAGGAGCTATTATGGAAGAAAACAACATATAGAAATTTTAAAATAGTAAGTCAACCCATATAAATCATGATGATGTTCCCAAGGACAGAGGTTTAAATCACATTCCCCCTTGATAAAGCTTTAATTGTATAAATAGCTCTGTGAAATCATTTTAACTGTTCTTGCCCCCAATCTAAGGGTACATCTACACAGTTCATATAAAATCATTGAAGAGTACTACTTTATCTCAGTATGTTTGAATATCCAGATGTTTGGCAGGAAGTAAAACAAACATCCAGATGATTGACTAGAATTTTAAATATTTCTTCCAAGTCCTGACAAAGAAGGAAAGAAAGCAATTTACTTACCAGATAGTTCCATGTTTAATAATCCTGTAGTAATCAAAGAACTATCTTCGTGAAGAAAAATAACTTAGAACTTTGTCTCAAATATTATTCCTTAAAGGTACTGAAATGCAGAGATGCTGCCGTCCTCCTGCCCCAGCATGGAGAATGTCCCCAGAAGCCAGTCGGACATGTAGACGGGTGAAGAGGCATTTCTTCTGTAATTGCCACATGTGCACTCAGGCTGAAGTCACATCCTGTAGATGTCATGTTGATAAGTGCTATAGGAATGCTTCTGGACACCCAGAGATAAGATGACCAAATGTCTATGAATTCCAAATGGTAGTGTAGGGAAGGAAAATTTTTTTCTCTACTCTTCCAGATTCTTTTGGCTGGTTTATTAATTAACAATTAGTTAACACCCAAGACAGATGAACAGGAGAAAAACAAATTTAATTTCATACATATGGGAGCCAGAAAGATATGAGGTGCAAGGGCAAAGTCGGGCAGTTGAAGCTTCCATGCCATCCTGAGCTAAGAAACAAAGGGGATAGGAGTCTGGGGCTTCAAAGGGAAGGAGGACAATTCACAGGAAGATGGGAAGAGCAAATGTTTGGTAAACAAACATTTGCCATGCCAATGGGACAGAACAGGACACTGAGAGGGCTTTGAACATACAAACCCTGCCAAGCTCCCCCCAGCTGACTGCACCTGGCCCAGACTCTCTGCAGTAGTCTCTGGTGATAGCTCTTTTCCTGGACCAGGGCCTCTATCTAAATCTTAGGGGCAGTTAAGGGGGAGGTTAAAATCTCTTCCCAAGTCTTTTGGGCCCCGACTGTCTTCAGCTCAAAATAACCCACATGACAAAGTGACACATTCTGTGGTGTCATACTCTCATCCCCGTCAGTAGCAATCTCTGAGGTCATTTTGCTAGAAATCCTTTTAAATAATTGGATGATTAATGGCCATAGCAATCCTAGGGACCACAAAAAGTCCATTTAAAAGACATTTTTGTTTGGAAAGAATTCTTCATTTTTTTGTGAGCATTAAATCTCATGTTGTCTAGCCCACTTTTACAATAATTGGGAGTATTAATTGACGGCACTGATAGGACTGTCATAAAATCTAATGATGACCGGCATTCAAGACTGAATGTTGTTTGTGTCATGAACTTTCTCCGGCTTGTCACTACTCCTTCTCCCCCTCAAGCTGTAATTTTCCAGTGACCTTTGCCCAGACTGACCTATTGTTCATAGTTGTCACCAAAAAGGCCCTCGGTTCAGTTTATTTAGGGAATGATGGCAGGTAACTGTGAAATAACAAAAGCATGAATACCATTGATCACGGTGGATTTTTTTTTCCCACTGTTTTCAGCCACATGATAAAAACAGGATGCTTCATTCTTGGGGACCAGTGGCTGGCATAACTTATCAAAGCTGCCTTTTCCCCTTCCTCTGACTTTCCCCTTTGTTTCCTTGAGGGATGCAGAAATGACATCAAACTGTTCAAAATAGCTCTGACCTATTATGGATGACCAAAGAGATATTTGCTTTATTTTGGAGAAGAAATAATTGCTCTAACCTTTTGTTTTGTACAGAAAACAGACAAACAGGATATATTTTTTTTCACCGTCTCCAGGTTTTGTCTCATCCTTTCCTGCTCTTTTGAAACAAAAGAAGTCAATTTTAAAAAGCAAAGAAGAATAAATAAATTTTAGGAAGAGAAATTGCATTACAATTTCCCCTAGAAAAGTTCCAGTGACATCTTACCCACCATGACAATAGGCCTTGTTATCCTAATAAATAAGTGAATCTAAATCATAACTATTTTAGGGACACAAGAAAAGAGAATGGAAATATCTCACATTGTAAACCAAGTGGGTTTCTTGAAAAAAATAAATGTTAATATTTATCAGTGAGTTCAATTCGTACCAAGTAGTGTCCTTACTTTGCCTCTTTGAAGATGCTCTTTCAAAGTTTCTCAGGCAGTAAGGTGTGGATCTCCTTATACCAAGATCATTTCCCAGTAGCTATAACCTTGTAATTCAGCAGTACCAGTTCAATGATACACTGCCTGACTTGAAACCTTCCTAAATCACATCACCAAAACAAGCTGAGCTGTCCCGGAAAAGGCATCGAATCATTTATAGGGGGGCAAACCCTCAATTCTGCCTAAGAGGCCCATCCTAAGTAACCCCCAAACATCCCTCTGCCTCCCCTGACAAGGAAAGATCTGATTTTATGCATATGTGTTTAATCTTGACATTTTCCTTTAGAGTAGTGCTGTCCAACAGAAATGTCTATAATGATGCAAAAAATAATTGTTAATATTTGCACTGTTCAATATGGTAGTCTCTAGCCAATTATTACTATTGGGCACTTGTAATACGGCTAGTGCATGTAAGAACTAGGATTTTTAATTTTCTATAAGTTCATTAACTTAAATGTAAATATCTATAGGTGGCTAGTGACTATTATAGTGGATAATGTGGCTTCATAATTGCCTAGAATGTGTTTCTTGGTGCTGAATTCCTTAATGTATATTTAAGGAACAATATTTCTGATCCTTTCTGTTGTTAAATGCAAAATATGATAACAAGCATCTCAAACTGGGATAAGAATGTTGAATAGTTTTTGATAATGCTCCATGAAAAGCCTAAGTTTGGGCATTGCAAATGGAAGTTCCAAAGGCCATCTGTAGGTTTATCATTTTGCTGTCCAATTATTTTAGTTTTACATAAGTATAAACCATATGCAATGTTATAATAAGATTTTGGCAGATCTAATAATGTTTCAAAGAGTAATTTTCATAATTTCTCAGAAACTAGTCAACAAACACACTTATCTCTACATAAACAAGGGTAGATAGGAAAATTTGCTAGTGTTATTTATGTGATGTTTAATTGAGTGTGTCAAGTAAAGCACATTTTAAAGATGGTGCCAGCTTAAGATTGGGAAGAACTTTTTTTGAATAAAGAGCACACTGGACTCTTCTGAACCTCCTCTTGCACACGTGAAAGGTACAAATGAGTTTGGAGCTAGGGAATGGAGACTATATTGGAGGACATTTTCTAGAAGAGAGTGGTGTTTCTCTCCCAACCCGAAGCAGAGAAAAGAGGATGACCCTTACTTTAGGAGAATGAGGCTTTAAAGAAATCACCAAAATGAGCCCTGCCTCCTCAGCACCTCCCTTTTCCAAAAGGAAATTACATAGTTGACCAAGTCAACCTACAGATGTATAAAGAGTTGGCTGAGAAAGGGCAGAGGTTTGTGGAGTAACCCCACCCCCAAAGACTCCAAAGTGAAGGACGAGTCCATGTTTCCCCTAGATAAACCTGTGAGTCCAAAAGGGCCATCTGTCAGAGGGACATCAGAAGTGCCATTGGAGTCCTCGGGCATTTGCCATACTGGAGGGAACTAGATTTGCAAGTTCCTTAGATGGGGGGAAGTGAAATGCAGGAGATGCACTGAGGTCTCCAAAGAATTCACAAATCTCAGGAGGAAATAACTTTTAAACTCCTGCCAAGCTCCTAGAGCGCTGACACTAGCTGGGGGAGCGTTTTCATTAATTGAAGGGCTTTCCTCTCAGCAGGCCTTGTGGCCCTGGCCCAGGGGGGGCGGACACAGCAGGAACCAGCTGGAGGAGGGGAAGGTCAGGGAGTGGAGGAAGGAAGGAAGCTGCCTCCAGTTCTCTCTCTCCAGGTCATCTTTCCCACCTATGGGGGCCTGAGGGGAGGGGAGGTGGGGGGTAGGGGAGGAAGTGGTGGTGCATGGTGCATGGGGAAGTGTGTGCGTGCATGGGGGGGTGCGTGTGGGGTATGTGGGGTGGGGTACAGGGGAGACACCTTCGTACCAAATCAAGTTTGCAATTTGAGTCTTATAATGGGTGGGACGTTTTAGTCCAGAAGCAGTTTCAGCCCTGGGTAAAGTTTTTGCTAGGGCAATATGACAGTATTGAAACAGATAGGTTCTTCAGTTTTTTTGACCCAGGGCTTTGGAGGGAGGTGTTGTAGGAAATTAAAAGGGCCTTTTTCCTTGCCCACAGGATTAAAGACATTTCAAATTAGATGTAAGACTTTAAACAAGGGGATTGATTATGCTAACAGTATAATTTAGAAATACCTTAAGTAACCAATAAATATTGGAAGATTAAAGACTCAAATGAGTTATTTCTGCATGTATATATGCCCTTTTCTTATTCATTAATACAACAGCATATATTAATGCCTGTCTTATTCTGTGTGAAAAGCTTTGTTCTAGAGCGAAGTTTTGATGTTAAGCTAAACATATCCTGGTAACTTCCCAGAGGGAAACCAGAACAATACTTATGTATAGAGGATCACCTGCCTCAGACAGGAAGTATATGTGACAAATGCAAATCAGGTCCTAAACCTGAAGTAAAGTGGCAGATTTCCTTCAATGTAAATCATCTGCACAGATATAACGGTTTTATTTAGTAGCGGATTGAAGAATCACCAGACTTCCTTGAATGGACTTTACGACTCTTTCAGCCCAACTTAGACATTGTAAAAATTACTGGACTTAATATATTTTTATTAAACTGAACTAAATTGAATAAGGAAACAGAGTTTAAATGCCTTAACAGTACTCAGAGATTGAACAAGGAGTTAAACTCGGGCCTTATAACTTCCTATCCTGATGTGTCCTTCAGGAAATGCGCTTTGTCATCTACCTTTATCCACTGGATTCTTTAGCAATAATGTTTGTCCAACTTGACTGTGTTTTTCATGAGCATATGTGTCAATTGTGTGTCCCTTTTAAATATATATTCAGACCACTGTCCATTAGAATTAATGAACTCTACAGAAATAATTCATTAAAATTATAGAAAATGTAGAATTGAAAAATTACATACTTGGATTTTCCCCTTCAATTTCTTGAAAAGCCAGTATTTAAAATACTCCAGAAAACAAACTGGTATGGTATAGCGAGCTAGAAATTTTAATCTTTCATTTCTTTTCTTTGTTCTTTACTCACAAGCTGGGTGAGAGTTGACAGCTGTCAGTTATATAAGATTAATTTAAATTATTCCAGGTCATGAAGTATGTACCTACATAAACCATTAGCTGTCTTGATCAGCCATTGATGAAATGTTTTGACTGGTAACTTTTTTCACGGGGATGGGATTGGTTAGGAACTAACACACTGATGAAATGGTTCCGTAGGCAACTTTACCTCTCCTTAAAGAAAGGCAGAATGTGCCTGGTCTTTGTTTTCAAAAATGTTTACCTTATCTCAGCTAAGTATGGAAGCAAACAGTGGAAATGCTGAATTTGCAAAAGTATGAGTAGTCCTCTGATTTCTTTTCTTCTAGCTATGCCCTCTTTTATTTCTTATTATTGAACATTTTTTCCCTGAGTTTATTTTGGTAAATTTTCGTTCTAAGTTTTCTCTCAATCTTAAATTTTGCAGAGACTGGTTATTTTCTATTATCACATTCCTTGACTAAATTACTGGGGATGGTTCCAGAGAAGGAAGCATAGGAACTCCAAAATACTTAATTTCAACATTATTTCACTACTAAGAATAGAATCCTTTTTGCTTTCACGGATGCTATAGTTGTTTACAAACTTTTCCAGAAAAATCCATAAACTAGACTTTTTCGGTAGTGGGCAGAAATTTTCTGTCTTCTCAACATCCAATCAACCATATTTTGGGCTCGTAGACTATAGAAAAGGATGATAAAAGTGACTTTATATGGAGGGCTGGCTTGAAGCCCTCCATCGTCTTCAGAGGTATCTTTCCGATCATAAATTCATCTGTGCTAAAGAGCCCTGTGACATAATGTTATCATGTATTCTTATTTAATCACTGACACTGGTTTCTAAATTTCAAGGTACACATCCACTAAGCATCTTCCAGTTTAAGAAATTTTATTTTCTAAAGATGCACTGCATTGTCTTGAAAGGACCAATAAAACATAAGCCATTTTTAGTAGATAGGTCATGAGAATTTTTCTGCTTTAAAACA